ACAAAAGGCCACACCATCTTGGTCTTCATACCTTAGAATAAGACTAGGTTATCAAACGGGATGAAGAAGTGATAGGTGAATTTTCTCACAATAATATGAATTTCACTTAGACTTGCTTCCCGAAATGCATTTTAATCCCAGCTGGAATAGGATACAGTTTTGACTTGGCATAGGGCTTAATAGCATTCATTGCTCAACTTAAATCCGACCACAGCCCCTAGGTTGAAGGGGCACTCGTGGTAGCCTGAGTTCGAGTCCCGCCGGGGGTGCTGATGAGACCAGTTCAGACGAGGTCGAAATGATAGTTTACTCTTGCCACGATTAAAACACCTTTTTAGTAGGGAATGCTATAATAAAATGTAATGAAAACTTGGGGTCTACTCGAACTATTGTGGGAAATTTCAACTATTATTCCACAAGGAAGGCCAGGTCCTTTTTACATATCACATTATTTGGTGGGATTGTCGATGAAGCAAACGTATATTTGCTATAACAATTGACTACGTTACTTGCTTTTCGTAGTTAAGTAGAGTTTCGAGACTACCAGTAAATCAGTAATATCATCATCACCTTAAACGAAATAAGGTGAATACATCTCATATTACTGATTTACTGATAGTCTCGAAACTCTACTTGAATACGAAAAATTAGTTAGTAGTCACTAGATTTCATTTGACCTCGCCTTACGCTAGACCTCTCATTTTACTTGGACTGCAATTTCGACTTGACCTTAGTCTCGACAACATCGTCTAAAGAACGTCCACTCGAGTTCGAACCAACGGCGACAATTTTTCCATTTATGCCACACTGTCAAGAGTGGTTGGCATGGAGTCAGAGGGCAGATGCAACTTCTGAGGGCACACTCGGCCTATTCAATTTCACTTCTTCCTTGCATATACCCTTTGGGAAGCAAGGTCATGTGAAATTCACTGAAAACTTAAGGCCTATTCATATGATTGTGGGAAAATTCAACTGTCAATTCTTTATCACCTCACGAGAAAGATAATGTGGTCTGCTAGTAGCCTCGAAGATCTACTTTTCAATGAAATCTTGTTCAAATCACTACAACTAGACAAGAATATTGTATACGTGGAGAGTAGGCTTCCAGACCAGCAGCAGCTCTAGAAGGGGATCTTGAAAAAATAAAGATTTACTGACAATTTGGAAGCATTCTCACAACGAAGATAGCCAAATAGAACAGAAGGACTACACGCGAGACGGCCACGACCTCGTGGGGACTTACCAACTGGCTTGTACTCGCATTCGAAGCCTCTAAACTGAGTCAAATGATCCCCGAGCAGGCCGTTCAGCGCATGGCAACCTCGCGCTTTGCCTCTTTCTTCACTGAATTCCTGCATTCCGGGCACGCAGGCGATCAGCTGGGCTCCACAGCCTCCGGTAGGACGGGAGGTCAGACAATCGTCCTGCGACGTGGTCACCTCGAGAAGTGGCAGCGACTGGTCTTGTGGAAAGCTTTCACCAGAGGCAGGAGTCGGAAGCAGCTTCGGGATTCGCAGTTGGGCCTCTTCAATCGCATCCTCTTTTGTCGGCTTATTTGAACCGATGGAATCGGTAGTCTTTTTGTGCATGCCTGTGGGCGTGTATGTATTGGTGTGTGGGTGTGCACATGTCGGTGTACATGTGTGTATTTGACGAGGAAAGGAAAAATGTGAAAGGAGCCGGTGACCAAGAGGAAGGGTGGATTTGCCAGCGTACTTGCATACCATATTTGTTATTATTTTGATGTTTTTCTCCTCATTCTACTAGCTTGTGCCTTTTGATGTCTTTTGAGTTTATAGATGGCGTAGTGATTTTTGTTATAGTTTAGAGTTTACATTTTATTAATTATCTACTTATAACAATAAGTAGTATTTGTTGTCTACTTTTCATGTATAAAATTTGCTTTCTGAACATGTTTTTTTATTAAATATAGCTTGCAAATATAAGAATATAGAATATAAATATATGAATTAAAATATGTTTTCAGAATCTTTAAGATATTATATGAAGTAATTTTGCATGC